GAACAGGATGATCTATTGCCACATTTATCCATTTCATGCCAGATTAAGATATAAGATAGAGCTTTTGTCTTCAACCAGAATGACCCAAGTTCAAATCCATGAAGTTTAGTACGTGATGGTGACTCTCTGTTTCAGCTTACCATATTTCATCACATAATAGTCATTTTTTTCCTTTTTATAGATTTTATATGTGACAAAAATGTGCTTTGGTTCTCTGGTTTCTTTTTTAAAATAAATAAATAAATAAAATGCCATATTACTGAACGGGAAAGAGGAGGAAGGACAGCTCTGTTTCTGTTTGTTTGAGGTTTTTTTAAAACTAAAGAGCAATTTCAGGCTAATTCCCCCACATTTCTTTTTTTCCCCCCAAAGGCAAGGCAGTTTAAAAACTATAAAATGAATGCCACCTGGGATTGCCTCTAGAACATGGCCATATAGCCCAAAAAACCTCACAAGAACTGAGTGATTCCAGCCATGAAAGCCTTCGACAATATATAAAATGAATGTCTCTGAAGGTTGTTGTGGGTTTTTCCGGGCTATATGGCCATGTTCTAGAGGCATTCTCTCCTGACGTTTCGCCTGCATCTATGGCAAGCATCCTCAGAGGTAGTGAGGTCTGTTGGAACTAGGAAAAGGGGTTTATATATCTGTGGAAAGGCCAGGGTGGGACAAAGGACTCAACTGCTGGAGCTAGGTGGGAATGTTTCAACTGACCACCTTGATTAGCATTTGATAGCCTGGAAGTGCCTGGAGCAATCTTTTGTTGAGAGGTGATTAGATGTCCCTGATTGTTTTCCCTCTGCTGTTTGGCTGTTTTAATTTTAGAGTTTTTTTTAATACTGGTAGCCAGATTTTGTTCATTTTCATGGTTTCCTCCTTTCTGTTGAAATTGTCCACATGCTTGTGTATTTCAATGGCTTCTCTGTGTACTCTGACATGGTGGTTGTGAGAGTAGTCCAGCATTTTTGTGTTCTCAAATAATCTGCTGTGTCCAGGTTGGTTCATCAGGTGCTCTGCTATGGCTGACTTCTCTGGTTGAAGTAGTCTGCAGTGCCTTTCATGTTCCTTGATTCGTGTTTGGGCAATGCTGCGTTTGGTGGTCCCTATGTAGACTTGTCCACAGCTGCATGGTACACGGTAGACTCCTACGGAAGTGAGAGGATCCCTCTTGTCCTTTGCTGAACAAAACATTTGTTGGATTTTCTTGGTGGCTCTGTAGATAGTTTGTATGTTGTGTTTCCTCATCAGCTTCCGTATGCGGTCAGTGGTTCCCTTGATGAATGGCAAGAACACTTTTCCTCTGGGTGGATCTTTGTCTTGACTCTTGTGGCTTGTTCTCGGTCTTGCAGCTCTGAGGTTTCACTAATCTGTCCTTCCTCTTAGACAACGTAGTGCAAAAAACCTGAAATGGAGGTCTCTGGAACTCAGATCTTCCCATAGAACTCCATTCCAGGTTTTGTAAATTATCTTGCTCAGAAGAAGGGGGAAGAAGAGAGAAGGAAAGAGTGGAGCTTCAGAGACCTCCATTTGGTAGTTTTAAACTGCCTTACCTTCAGAGAAAGAGGGAAGGGAGTATCAGCCCCAAATGGATCCGCGACTATTATGCGAGGAAGACCAAAATACCAATTTTGCCTCGCAAAAAATGAAGGTATGGCTATTATGCAATGGTGAATATTATTCAATGAAGTACAGTATCTACATCACAGGACTGCTGTGAAAGCAAAAGAGGATAACCTCTACTTAGGTACCTTATTTATTTATTTATTTATTTATTTATTTACTATATTTGTATATCACTCTTCTCAGCCCTGGGGCGACTCAGAGCAGTTAACAATAGCAAAATTCAATGCTCAAAAACATCATAAAACAGTTAAAAACAATTAAAATCATAGCATAATAAACAGTCAATATAAATCAATAAAACATCTCATTAGCGTCTCATAGCTAAAATCAAGATACTGTCTCATCATCCAATTCTTCCATATTCCTATGTTCGTTACACTGCCTTTTCAAATGCCTGCTCGAACTACTAATAACTTCACTTTCCTCCGAAATGTCAGCAGGGAGGGGGCCGATCTAATATCTGTAGGAAGGGGGTTCCACAGCCGAGGGGCCACCACTGAGAAGGCCCTGTCCCTTGTTCCCACCAAACGTACTTGTGATGCAGGCGGGACCGAGACCAGGGCCTCCCCAGATGATCTTAACATCCTAGCTGGTTCAAAGGAGGAGATGCGCTCGGACAGGTAAGTCGGGCCAGAACTGTTTCGGGCTTAGATTCAATAGAGCAGCATTTCTCAACCTGAGACTCAAGACCCCTGGAGGGGTCATGAGGGGGTGTCAGAGGGGTCACCAAAGACCATCAGAAAACACAGTATTTGCTGTTGAGTCATGGGGGTTCTGGGTGGGAAATTTGGCCCAATTCTATCATTGGTGGGGTTCAGAATGCTCTATGATTGTAGGTGAACTATAAATCCCAGCAACTACAACTCCCAAATGTCAAGTCTATTTTCCCCAAACTGCACCAGTGTTCACATTTGGGCATATTGAGTATTCGTGCCAAGTTTGGTCCAGATRCATCATTGTTTGAGTCTCTGGATGTAGGTGAACTAGAACTGCAAAACTCAACGTCAATGCCCACCAAAACCCTTCCAGTATTTTCTGTTCGTCATGAGAGTTCTGTGTGCCAAGTTTGGTTCAATTCCATCGTTGGTGGAGTTCTGAATGCGCTTTGATTGTAGGTTAACTATAAATCCCAGCAACTACAATTCCCAAATGACAAAATCAAGCCCAGAACTCACCTCACAAGCAAGCAACTTAAACTGCAGGCCTAGGATCTTGTAGTCTATTAGGTTGTTCCCACGTAGTTGAGCCAAAGCTTCTTTTAAGTCATTAATCGATGACTCATAACTAGAAAGCAAAGAAAGGAAAGAATATTTCAGGCAAGTCTCTGTCAGCAAAACCTCTGAAAAAGAAAACCAATTTTACAAAGTCCTGCAAAGTCCTCATTCTCCGTCTAATGCTATGTAGTAATTTTTTTTTTACAATTCTTTATTGATTAGTCAATTTTAACCATATCAAAACATGCAAAACATACAAAACATACACATACAGTAAAGTAGAGTCTCACTTATCCAACCTTCGCTCATCCAACATTCTGTATTATCCAACACAATCTGCCTCCCACCCGGATCCACAGCTGTTTCAATAAATTGCTAAATTCATAAATAGAATAATTACTACATAACGTTATTGTGTATTGAATAGCTTTTTCTGTTGAGTTGTTGTCAAACATGATATTTTGGTGCTTAATTTGTAAAATCATAACTTAATTCGATGTTTAATAGGCTTTTCCTTAATCCCTCCTTATTTATCAATTTATTTATTTGTTTATTTATTTATTTATTTCGGGCATTTGTATCCCGTCCTATCTTGACCTCTGCAGAGGGACTCATGGCGGCTAACAACCAGCACACCATGGTGCCCACAACCAAAAACATAACTATACCATTTAAATAAAAACAATATAAAAACAGTATAAAAACATTCAAACAGTCAGTCGCAGATTTAATTTATCATCCTAAAAGCAGTCCGTCGAGTCCATTAAAGCCGTTGCTTTGCAAGCAGGGCAGCCTAGTCTGCAAAGGCCTGATCCCATAGCCAGGATTTCACTTGTTTCCAAAAGGTCAGGAGGGATGGAGCAGATCTAATTTTGCTTGAGAGGGAGTTCCACAGCCGAAGGGCCACCACAAAAAAGGCCCTGTCCCTTGTCCCCATGAAATGCGATTGTGATGATGGGGGGACAATGAGCAGGGCCTCCCCGGTTTATCTTAGGGTTCTAGGTGGATGGTAGCGGGCAATATGTTCGGACAAATAAACTGAGCCAGAACTGTTAAGGGCTATTTTTGTTTAACCAACATTCTGTCAGCCCATGTATGTTGGATAAGCGAGACGCTACTGTAGCTTAAATATTGCAATGCAGACAGAAAAGGTCTACAAAAATGAGATCTACACATTTGGCCGCCAAAATGGAAATCACAAGAAAAGTCCTGCTGAAAGAAAAAGGTCACGCTTGTATGCATTCTTGAAAAACTCTTCAAGTGGTCTAGGAGGTTCGCCATGTTATTGTTTACCTGTGCAAGGCTAACTTAACCTTACTAATTTCTTTCACGTGTGTATATTGTTAGTTTGGGTGGATTTGCTAAGACATACTGAATTGCTTTTTTGTTCATAGCATTGGGACTTATCCTTATTTTTCCCTTTTCCATCTCTGGTACCAAATTTTCTTGTAACACATCAAGATGTGTTAATTTAAGTGTACATGTAATTACTAGGCATGGTTAGGTACCGTCGGAATCTTCGGAATTCGGAATAAAGTCAGAAAAATTACCTTCTTGAAGCGATTTCGAAGTTTTTTAGAAAGCTTTGCCCTTTGCCCTTCTGAAGCTTCTCTCGCCATTTTTCTTCCGACTCAGGAAGTGAGTCGGAAGTGACTCATCATTTGGAGGCAAGCGTCTTGCATGCTGGGATACTTGCCTCCCAGCCAATGAGGGGAGAAGTTTTGGGGAGGGGAGGGGAAGGGTTTCGGCACAGCAGCCATTGCGTTATATAAAGACCAGCACATGGCTGAGAGGCTCATTGTGAGCCTGGGAAGGGAAGGGGAAAGAGAAAGAGAAAGGGAAGGGAGGTTGTGAAGGAAGGTTGGAAGAAGAGCGGTTAGAAGAGTAGGGCAAGCGGGGAAGGGCTCGGAGCAGGGTTGAATTCTTTTCCTAATCGAACCACCAGCGCCCCCTACATCCGAAACGAGTTTTGAACCATACAACTCCCAAGTGACAAAATCATAATTTTTTGAGTGATGGTCACTCCTTGTGTAGTGAGACGTTTTGTTGCCAAATTTGGTGTGATTTCGTTCATTGGTTCTTTTGTTTTTAAGGTATTCATTATGCACAGAGCATTTTTATATAGATAGATAGATTGTAATATTAGTAGTAATATTACATGTAATATAAAATATATAATTACTAACCGTCCCCTACCATGTGTTGCTGTGGCCCAGTCTGTGTATATGTATTTTGTGTGTGTATATGTGTGTGTATATATTTGTGTATATGTGTGGTTGCATATATATATACATTACATATATGTAATTACATTACAACGCATGCAAAAACCTATATATAGATAATATCGTATTATTAGTAGTAGTATTATATTGTATTACATTATAGTATTATAAATATTATATGTATATACAATATATTATATTATATTAATATTATATTATATTGTTGTTGTTCATTCGTTCAGTCGTCTCCGACTCTTCGTGACCTCATGGACCAGCCCACGCCAGAGCTTCCTGTCAGCCGTCACCACCCCCAGCTCCTTCAAGGTCAGTCCAGTCACTTCAAGGATGCCATCCATCCATCTTGCCCTTGGTCGGCCCCTCTTCCTTTTGCCTTCCACTTTCCCCAGCATAATTGTCTTCTCTAGGCTTTGCTGTCTCCTCATGATGTGGCCAAAGTACTTCAACTTTGTCTCTAGTATCCTTCCCTCCAATGAGCAGTCGGGCTTTATTTCCTGGAGGATGGACTGGTTGGATCTTCTCGCAGTCCAAGGCACTCTCAGAACTTTCCTCCAACACCACAGCTCAAAAACATCGATCTTCCTTCGCTCAGCCTTCCCTAAGGTCCAGCTCTCACATCCGTAGGTGACTACAGGGAATACCATGGCTTTGACTAGGCGGATCTTTGTTGCCAGTCTGATGTCTCTACTCTTCACTATTTTATCGAGACTGAACATTGCTCTCCTCCCAAGAAGTAAGCGTCTTCTGATTTCCTGGCCACAGTCTGCATCTGCAGTAATCTTTGTGCCTAGAAATACAAAATCTGTCACGGCCTCCACCGTTTCTCCCTCTATTTTCCAGTTGTCAATCATTCTTGTTGCCATAATCTTGGTTTTTTTATGTTTAGCTGCAACCCAGCTTTTGCGCTTTCTTCTTTCATCTTGATTAGAAGGCTCCTCAGCTTGGCCATCAGGCCATCATTATATTATATTATTCGTGAAGCACAGGAGACAAGATGGAACTGTCTTCTGTCCTCCTCTCTCTTCACTCTGGCCAGAGCAGCAGTTGGTGCTGCTTTGAACTGGGTTATCTGAGTCCACACTGCCATACATTCATTGTAAGCAGATAATGTGAGATTTTAATCAGCTGCGTGGCAGGCGCCTCAGAAAGAGAATGCGAAACCTAATGGGCACAACCTTAAGGAAAGAAAGAGCTGAGCAAAGACAAGAGGTGTCAGAAGCCTATGTAATGGGAATTTTAACATTTGTGAAAACTGATCCCAACAATGATAAAGAAAGATAAAGCTATTTTGGAAGAACTTCTCTTTTATTTCTGTTACAAATATGCTAACTCACCCATAAAATCTAACTCACATAGGTAATGTGTCTGTACCGATTAGGAAGACTATTTTTTTCTGCAGACTAAACTATAGCAAGGTAGCAAAACAGCGCCGTAATAGAATGAAGTTGTAGAAATGATATACCGTAAATGGAAAAATAGAAGTAACATTTGGGAATTTGATATGAAGGAGGGAACTGATCTGCCACATTAAATTCCCAATTCTTTTAAGAAAGAGACACATACACACAGGAATAACTTTCACGGTTTTGTGTGGGCAGCTATGTCTCTCTCTGCATTAAAAAACAGCACTGAGCTGTATAATTTATATGGATCCGAGAATCTTCTGCTGGTACATGCTGGTACATAAGGTTTGCAAAATAGGAAACTAAACATAGCACTGTTCTAACAGATTAAGGAGCAAGTGGTTGCAAGGATGAACAACAGAGTAAGATAACATTCCGCTACTTTTTTAAGGTGCCCAATATGTTACAACTCACTTTTCCATCTGGTACGCCACAATTCCTCGCTGGAAATATGCCACTGCTAAGTGTCTGTCATTGTTGGTGCTCCTGGTAAAGGCCTGAAGGAAGCAAAAATAATACCTCCTGAAAAGTATTATAGATACAGCAGTTTGGGACTTCTGGGTTGCCAGCCATTGCCAGCACAAACTGATGGGGCACAATCTATATAAATAAAAATGTAATGGTCATTTGTGGGATTAACATAACTCAAAACCCACTGGACGAATTGACAACAAATTTGGACAGAATACACCTAACAACCCAATGTATCCTTCACTCAATTTTTTTTATTTTGTCTTTTGGGAGTTGTAGTTGCTGGGATTTATAGTTCACCTACAATCAAATAGCAGGATAGAATTGAACCAAACGGGGCATAAAGTACTCCCATAACCAACAGAAAACACCAGAAGGGTTTGGTGAGCATTGACCTCCAGTTTGGGAGTTGTAGTTCACCTATATCCAAAGAGCACCATGGACTCAAACAATGATGGATCTGGGTCTGGACCAAACTTGGCACAAATATTCCATATGTCCAAATATGAACACAGATGGAGTTTGGGGAAAATAGACCTTGACATTTGGGAGTTTTAGTTACTGGGATATAGTTCACCTACAATCAAAGATTGTTCTGAATCCCACCAATGACAGAATTGGGGCAAACTTCCCACACAGAACCCCCATGACCAACAGAAAATACTCAAGGCCATCCAGTCTAATTCCCTTCACCAGGGCAAGAAAATGTAATCAAAGCCCTCCTGACAAAGAGCCATCCAACCATATATAATATTATTTATTTAATTTACAGTATTTTTATACTGCTTTTCTCACCCCTAGGGGGACTCAAAGCGGTTTACACATAACTGAAAAAACTTCAATGCCATACATTGGACACTGACGCAATGCCAAACCATAACAACCACAATAATAAAACTACAATTAAACATAAATCATAATTAGACAGTACATAAGCAATCATTAAAACAATAAATAATAAAAAGAGTCTCGGTAGTTGTATTGTCATTCTAGTCCTTGTCCTTTAAACTCTACAAACATCTACTGTCCGAAGGCCTGATCCCAAAGCCATGATTTTAATTTCTTTCTAAAAGCCAGGAGGGATGGAACAGATCTTACCTCATTTGAGAGTGTGTTCCATAGGTGAGGGGCCACCGCCGAGAAGGCCCTGTCTCTCGTTCCTGCCAGACACATTTGCGCAATTGATGGGAGCGAGAGCAGAGCCTCCCCGGATGATCTTAGATTACGAGATGGGACGTAGGGGTGGATGTGTTCGGACAAGTAAGCTGGGCCAGAACTGTATAGAGCTTTATAGGTCAAAACCAGCACTTTGAATTGGGCTCGGAGATGGACTGGCAGCCAGTGGAGCTGGTACAACAGGGGGTGGTATGCTCCCTGTATGTCGCCCCAGTTAGTAATCTGGCTGCCGCCCGTTGGACTAGCTGAAGTTTCCGAACTATCTTCAAAGGAAGCTTCACGTAGAGCGCATTGCAGTAATCTATTTGGGATGTAACCAGAGTGTGGATAGATATGAATCACACACAGATATAGTATCATAGATTTGAAAGGGACTCCTAAAGAAGGACAATATGTTGCATGTTGGCAATATGGGCAACCCACACAATCTCCACATTAACACTGACAAAGAAACAACAAGAAATACTGTTTACTCACAAGCATAAAGAAATTACATATATTAGAAACCAATGCTTTCTCATTACTTTATTTTCCAGATCGACAGACTGGGCCACAGCTACGTGTGGCAGGGGACGGCTAGTCTATATAAATAAAAATGTAATGTTCAATTGTGGGATTAACATAACTCAAAAACCACTGGATGAACGGACACCAAATTTGGACACAATACACCTACCAGGCCAACGAGTGACCATCACTCATAAAAACACTGGAAAACACAGCAGAAGAGACATAAAAAAACCCCCCAAAATACACACATATACACAAATATATATACACACACAAAGCATATATACACAGACTGGGCCACAGCAACGCGTGGCAGGGAACGGCTAGTAACCAATATGATCAGCCACTTTGGACAAATGAGCCAGTGTTCTGTATCATGAATGACCTCGAGCAAATCAAGGTTGGAAAATGTATTGTCAAAGGCTTTCATGGCCGGAATCACTGGGTTGTTGTAGGTTTTGGCCATGGTCTACTTGAGGCATTCTCTCCTGTCGTTTTGCCTGCATCTATGGCAAGCATCCTCAGAGGTAATGAGGTCTGCTGAAACTAGGAAAAAGGGTTTATATATCTGTGGAATGACCAGGGTGGGACAAAGGACTCTTGTCTGTTGGAGCTAGGTGTGAATGTTTCAACTGACCACCTTGATTAGCATATAATGGCTTGACAGTGCCTAGAGCAAACTTTTGTTGAGAGGTGATTAGATGTCCTTGTTTGTTTCCTCTCATTTGATTAAACAGTGTAATTGAACATAGGAATACGGAATAATGGATGATGAGATTGGATTCTGGTTTTACTGATGAGATACTAATGATTGTTATACTGATGTTTAATTGTTGATGATGCTACTGTTTTTAACTGTCCTATATTCGCTTTGTGATTTTTTTTTTTGTATTGCTGTTGTTAACCACTTTGAGTCACCTGAGGGCTGAGAAAAGCGGTATATAAATGAAGTAAATAATTAAATAAATAAATAAATAAATAAATACAGAGAGCCAATGGTGTACTATTTAGATCAAGGGTCTTCAAACTAAGGCCCGAGGGCCAGATACGGCCCTCCAAGGTCACTTACCTGGCCCTTGATCAGGCTCAACCTAAGTCTGAAATGACTTGCAAGCATACAACAACAACAATCCTAACTCATCAGCCAAAAGCAGGCCCACACTTCCCATTCAAATACTAATAAGTTCATTAATAACTTATTAATTTATTAATTAATTAATAATTAATAAATTCATTAAAATTGTTCTTTATTTTAATTATTGTATTGTTTTTAAGTGTTTTTTGCACTACAAATAAGATATGTGCAGTGTACATAGGAATTCATTATTATTTTTTTCAAATTATAATCCAGCCCTCCAACAATTTGAGGGATTGTGAGCTGGRCCTCTGTCTAAAAAGTTTGAGGACCCCTGATTTAGATATTTGACCCTTCTGGTATTATCTAGGGGTGTGCGAAATGGCAGAAGTCAATTTTTTTCATGGCAAATTTGAGGTCATCCCCCCCCCCCCCAATTCTGTTTTTGGCAAGATTCTTCCCGAAACAGAAACAGAACTTTGGATCCTGAATTATGGATCTGAACAGCCGCCCTCCTAATTTCCCGGAATCTTCCTGAAAACAGAACCCAAAATTCGAAACAAAAACAGAACAAAACCAGAACGTTTCGCACACCCCTAAATCTGTTGTAACTCCCTGCCATTTGAAAATGAAAAAGAAAATAGAGTAGGAACAGGGAAGGAAAACAAGTAAGTTCAGCTAGCAGTCCATATTTTTTTGGTCATTCGCCAATCAAACCAACAGCATGTTGTTGTAGTTTTTTTTTGGGCTATATGGCCATGATCTAGAGGCATTCTCTCCTGACGTTTCGCCTGCATCTATGGCAAACATCCTCAGAGGTGTGAGGTCTGTTGGAAGTAGGAAAAGGTGGTTGTTAGAGTGGTCCAGCATTTCTGTGTTCTCAAATAATATGCTTTGTCCAGGTTGGTTCATCAGGTGCTCTGCTATGGCTGACTTCTCTGGTTGAAGTAGTCTGCAGTGCCTTTCATGTTCCTTGATTCGTGTTTGGGCAATGCTGCGTTTGGTGGTCCCTGTGTAGACTTGTCCACAGCTGCATGGTATACGGTAGACTCCTGCAGAAGTGAGAGGATCCCTTCTGGACCACTCTCACAACCACCATGTCAGACTACACAGAGAAGCCATTGAAATCCACACGCATGTGGACAATTTCAACAGAAAGGAGGAAACCATGAAAATGAACAAAATCTGGCTACCAGTATTAAAAAAAACTCTAAAATTACAACAGCACAACAACAGAGAGGAAACAAACAAGGACATCTAATCACCTCTCAACAAAAGTTTGCTCCAGGCACTGTCAGGCCATTATATGCTAATCAAGGTGGTCAGTTGAAACATTCACACCTAGCTCCAGCAGACAAGAGTTTGTCCCACCCTGGTCATTCCACAGATATATAAACCCATTTTCCTACTTCCAACAGACCTCACTACCTCTGAGGATGCTTGCCATAGATGCAGGCGAAACGTCAGGAGAAAATGCCTCTAGAACATGGCCATAAAGCCCGGAAAACCTACAACAACCCAGTGATTCCGGCCATGAAAGCCTTCGACAATACATTGAAACCAGAATGTTTCCCACACCCCTAAATCTGTTGTAACTCCCTGCCATTCAAAAATGAAAAAGGAAATAGAGTAGAAACAGGAAAGGAAAACAAGTAAGTTCAGCTAGCAGTCCATATTTTTTTGGTCATTCGCCAGTCAAACCAACAGCAGGTTGTTGTAGTTTTTTCGGGCTATATGGCCATGTTCTAGAAGCATTCTTGACGTTTCGCCTGCATCTATGGCAAGCATCCCCAGAGGTTGTTAGGCGAAATGTCAGACTTCTAGAACATGGCCATATGGACCGAAAAACGTACAACAACCCAGTGATTCCAGCCATGAAAGCCTTCCACAAACCAACAGCAGCTCAGAAATCTTGACTTAATAACAGGGACACGGCTAACCTGTTTTTAAATGGCTTCTTTTCCCATCTCTCCCTACTAGTTCCATGGAAGGACTCCTGCAGCCATCCAGGTTTACTTGTTGGGCTTGTTAAGCTGCTTTCAGGGAGAATGTTTCGGTTTCCTTGGTCACCTACCTGCTGTGCCTCATCCAAATTCCCCATGACCAGGTGGGTGCAGCCAATGTTAAAGCAGATTTTGGAGGAAGGCTTTGGAACCGAAGTGAAGGCAGACAGAGCAGCCGGCCAGTCTTTGCGGTCAGCTGCAGACACCCCCTCGCTCCACAGTCGAATTGTCTCTACAAGGGCCATGGCCAAACTGGAATCTATTCAGTTGCAAGCAAGGGGCTCTCACAATCCACCAGGCAAGCTCCCCTTGCACATCAGGTATGCATTCTGCTTCCCCTCTGGAAGCTCACCAGTGTTGCAATTGCAAACAGACCAGGAAGTCTCATCACTGAACTCATAACTGAAAGAGGGGCCAGGCTTGACAGAGGAAGTAATGCCACACAGGCTGGAAGATTGCCCAAAGAAGAAGCTGCTTTCAGAACAGAGCATTGTCTGTGATCCTCTGCTCAGGTTGCTCGCACTGTCTGACGTTGACTTCTCATCATGCGACTGCAGTCACGCCTTCCTTTTTCTGAATTTCACTTTCCATAAGAGTCTTAAAAATAAAATCATTGGGCTTCCCTTTCATGATGTGTTAACTCGGGATCTGTAGTGAAGATTTCAAGAGTCAAACCCGGCCTATCTGTGGTAAGAAGCTATATATAAAAAGGAAGCTGCTGCAGGATTGCCCAAGTTAACATCTTTTAAACACAAGCAAGTTGCCCAACTGGTACTTCCATAGAATACTATTATCTGCCTTGTTGTTTGTGAGTTGGATTAACAACTAGCCCACTTCCCAAATTCTTCCTCTCTTAGGCGATCCCTCATTGGCTGAGTAGGATAGTTTTCCAGGATCAGTGTTCTGGTGGGTCCCTATTCTTGATCTCCATCTTCTCCCGCAACGAGGGCATTCGTTTCCAAGTGGAAGGTGGTCTTGGTCGGGGTTGGTTTGATGCACCTTCCTCTTGGCACGTTTCTCTCTTTCGCCCTCCATTCGTACCTCTTCAAACTCTACAACACTGCTGATCACAGCTGAACTCCAGTTAGAGCGCTCAAGGGCCAGGGCTTCCCAATTCTCAGTATCTATGCCAGAGTTTTTAAGGTTGGCTTTGAGCCCATCTTTAAATCTCTTTTCCTGCCCACCAACATTTCATTTTTCGTTCTTGAGTTCGGTGGAGGACCATCACTTCAATGCTGGTGGTCTTTGCTTCTTCCAGCACGCTGACATTTGTCCGCTTGTCTTCCCAAGAGATTTGCAGGATTTTTCGGAGGCAGCGCTGATGGAATCGTTCCAGGAGTTGCATGTGACGTCTGTAGATAGCCCACGTCTCACAGACATATAGCAGAGTTAGGAGGACAATAGCTTTATAAACAAGCACCTTGGTATCCCTACGGATGTCCTGGTCCTCAAACACTCTCTGCTTCATTCAGAAAAATGCTGCACTCGCAGAGCTCAGGCAGTGTTGTATTTCAGTGTCAATGTTGACTTTTGTGGAGAGGTGGCTGCCAAGGTAGCAGAAATGGTCGACATTTTCTAGTGTTACACCATTAAGCTGTATTTCTGGCATTGGAGAGGGACTGGCTGGTGACTGCTGGAAGAGCACTGGTTTTCTCGATGTTTAATGACAGGCCGAGCTGCTCGTATGCTTCTGCAAAGGTATTTAGAGTGGCTTGTAGGTCTTCTTCTGAATGCGCACAGACAACGTTGTCATCAGCATACTGGAGTTCTATAATAGATATTGTTGTAACCTTGGTTTTGGCTTTCAGTCTGCTGAGGTTAAATAGCTGTCTGATAGATGATTTCCACTCCGGTGGGAAGCTTCCCATCAACAAGATGAAGTATCATAGCGATGAAGATGGAAAAGATGTGTTAACTCAGGATCTGTAGTGAAGATTTCAAGAGTCAGTGATGGGTCAAACCCGGCCTACCTGTGGTAAGAAGCTATATATAGAAAGAAAGCTGCTGCAGGATTGCCCAAATTAACATCTTTTAAACACGAGGTAATCAACAATATTTGCTTTGAACTGGGTTATTTGAGTCCACACTGCCATATAACCCAGCTCAGTGTGGATTTTATACCAGTCTGAGGGGAAACCATCTCAGAGTCGCTAGTAACTTGATAAAATAGTGTAGAGACATCACACTGGCAACAAAGATCCGCATAGTAAAAGCAATGGTATTCCACATAGTTACCTATGGATGTGAGAGCTGGACCATAGGGAAGGCTGAGCGAAGGAAGATAGATGCAGCCAGAGAGATGCAGCCTAGGCCCACTTGTACCCTCAATAGCAACAAAATGGAGGGGCGGCGGGCCTTTTGCGTCCCAAGAAAGAGGCCTATTTGGAGAAGGGCCTGTTGAAAGGACAAAGGGCCTCATGGATGTCGTAATTCTGAAACAGACCATTGCTGACAACCAACAGCCGAAGTCAGCCATGCCGGTTTAGAGGCCATACTCGTAGGTGTTTTGGACTCCCAACTCCCACAGTTCTTAACAGCCAGTAGTGAAGTGTCCTATTCTAAGCCTGTCTAGGAACATCCTGCTCTTCTACAGGGTGACTCAGTCCTGTCAGAAGAACAACAACAAACATGGCGTCGAAGGAGAGACGCGGCCTAGTCCCACTTGGAGCCTGGGAGACATTGAAATAGTGAGGCAGCGCGCCTTTAGTGGCCAGAGAGATGTGGCCTTGTCCTACTTTGGAGCCTGGGGTACAGGGAAATACGGTGGACCTTTTGTGGCCAGAGAGACGTGGAAGAGAAGGCTGAGAGGAGATATGATAGCCATGTATAAATATGTGAGAGGAAACCACAGGGAGGAGGGAGCAAGCTTGTTTTCTGCTTCCTTGGAGACTAGGACGCAATGGAACAATGGCTTCAAACTACAAGAGAGGAGATTCCATCTGAACATGAGGAAGAACTTCCTGACTGTGAGAGCCGTTCAGCAGTGGAACTCTCTGCCCCGGAGTGTAGTGGAGGCTCCTTCTTTGGAAGCTTTTAAACAGAGGCTGGATGGCCATCTGTCAGGGGTGCTTTGAATGCAATATTCCTGCTTCTTGGCAGAATGGGGTTGGACTGGATGGCCCATGAGGTCTCGTCCAACTCTTTGATTCTATGATGCTTTTGAACTGTGGTGTTGGAGGAAATTCTGAGAGTGCCTTGGACAGCGAGAAGATCCAAGCAGTCCATACTTCAAGAAATAAAGCCTGACTTCTCATTGGAGGGAAGGATAGTAGAGGCCAAGATGAAGTACTTTGGCCACATCATGAGGAGACAGCAAAGCCTAGAGAAGACAATTATGCTGGGGAAAGTGGAAGGCAAAAGGAAGAGGGGCCGACCAAGGGCAAGATGGATGGATGGCATCCTTGAAGTGACTGGACTGAACTTGAAGGCAGAGGTGGCCCTAGGTAATTTTCAACGGTAAGCAAACAGTATTCCCCCCCCCCCCCCCCAACCAATCACTGATATATATTTTCTGTTCGTCATGGGAGTTCTGTGTGCCATATTTGGTTCAATTCCATCATTGGTGGAGTTCAGAATGCTCTTTGATTGTAGGTGAACTATACATCCCAGTAACTACAACTCGCATATGTCCAGGTCTATTTACCCCCAAGATCACCTCAAGAGCACCCCTGGGCAAAATCAACTATACTGCAAGTGCTTACTTTGCGTAATGGGTTGAGCCGCCCCTGCTTGAAGGAGCTGGGGGCGGTGACAGCCAATAGGGAGCTCTGGCATGGGCTGGTCCATGAGGTCACGAAGAGTTGGAAGTGACTGAACAACAACAACAAAAGTGTGGGAATGTTTGCTGTCTTGAGTACCCATGGGGAGAAAGATGGGGTATAAATCAAGTTAATAGTCGTCGTCGTTGTCATCGGAGATTTTTGCAGTTACATTCTAAATAGCCGCTGAAAAAGACCTTAATAAAAGGCATAGAATAAAATGTTTTTTTACTAATAAAGTCAGCATCCTTTGCACATCTTGCGAGTGTTTCAGCTGATAAAGATATCACCAGCCTGTGTTTGGGATTTAGGCAGAGAAACACCAAGTGCTCTAAAACATCCCCTAAAACACACAGCCAATTTAAACTTATCTCAACCTGTGCGGATTTGAAACTTTGGTCTGACATGCCTAAGTAAGTACATTATCGTGTATCCTTGCAACAGTCTTGTAGGTTGACCAGTGTATTACCCACATTTGGCTAACAGAAACTAGGGAAATTGTGAGTTCACAGCTGGTATCACAACTAAGATTTTCCTGAGAAAAATGTATAATATCACAAAGGACGACCATCTCACCCGCCTGATAGGAAACCTGCTACAAAACAGGAGCTTTTTTGTTGAGTTCCCCAGAGAAGCAGATGGCGGAAACAGAAGAACGGCCTGCCTCAGGGGAGCGTGCTTGCTCCATCCATGTTCAACATCTACACAAATGACCAGCCACTGCCAGAAGGGACAGAGAGTTTCATCTATGCTGATGATCGTGCCATTACTGCTCAAGCAGGGAGCTTTGAGATGGTAGAACAGAAGCTCTCCGAAGCTCTAGGTGCTCTTACTGCCTATTACAGGGAAAACCAACTGATCCCTAATCCATCTAAAACACAGACATGTGCCTTTCACCTTAAGAACAGACAAGCATCCCAAGCTCAGAGGATTACCTGGGAAGGAATCCCACTGGAGCATTGCAGCACACCCAAATACCTGGGAGTCACTCTGGACCGTGCTCTGACCTACAAGAAGCACTGCCTGAACATCAAGCAAAAAGTGGGTGCTAGAAACAATATCATACGAAAGCTGACTGGCACAACCTGGGGATCACAACCAGACACAGTGAAGACATCTGCCCTTGCGCTTTGCTACTCTGCTGCTGAGTATGCATGCCCAGTGTGGAACACATCTCACCACACTAAAACAGTGGATGTGGCTCTTAATGAGACATGCCGCATTATCACGGGGTGTCTGCGCCCTACACCACTGGAGAAATTACACTGCTTAGCCGGTATTGCACCACCTGACATCCTCCGGGAAGTAGCAGCCAATAGTGAAAGGACCAAGGCAGAGACATCTCCAGCTCATCCCCTGTTTGGGTATCAGCCAGCACGTCAACGACTTAAATCAAGAAATAGTTTTCTAAGATCTACAGAGACACTTGCTGGAACACCTCAGCAAGCGAGAGTCCAAAAGTGGCAGGCTCAAACCCAGAGCCTCAGTCAATGGCTGATACCAAATGAGAGACTACCCCCTGGGAACACAGAAACTGGGCAACTTGGAATGCACTGAACAGACTGCACTCTGGCACCACGAGATGCAGAGCCAACCTTAAGAAATGGGGCCACAAAGTGGAATCCATGACATGTGAGTGTGGAGAAGAGCAAACCACTGACCACCTGCTGCAATGCAACCTGAGCCCTGCTACTTGCACAATGGAGGACCTCCTTGCAGCAACACCAGAGGCACTCCAAGTGGCCAGCTACTGG